TACTCAGTGTGAGCGGCCATCTACAGAGGTTGACTGGGGTTCAAGAAGACGGAAGCAGAGATACGTCCAGGAAGCACACACCCAGGCAGACGAGCTCCGCGCCCGCCCACATATCAGAGGATGAAGAGAGCACATCCAGCCAGTCACAGTCAGAGAAACAGGACTGCACTGGAAAACAGGCCGATCTCCAACATCTATAAACAAAGGTGTTGATGGCAGCAGCACAGCTGATGCGGTATTTCTCTCCAGGATGGAGTCACAGCCAAACAGGAACAGACGAGATGAAGCTACTATGAGAAGAAGCAGAGAGAGCATAACGTTAGAGATTGAACTAACAGATTCTGCAGAGTGGGAGCATAGAGATGGCGCGAAGCAGAATGATGAAATGTGCTATACAAAATGTGCTTTTCAGCTACAAAGTTCTGTGACTTTGTTCAGAGTTTCTAAAGAATAGTCTAATACCCAAAATGGCCCCATACCGGATATGCTGCAGGGCGTCGCCATAAAAAGGCAGCACTCACGCGTTTAGATTTTATAAGACTTTACAAAAAATGAGTATGCAGTTGTACCAAAGAAAATATATTTTATTATATTTATCCTTTTATCTTATCTTGGAAGTCTAAGAAAGCAAAATATAGGATCTTTAATATGTGTGGCTGTAATGTGCAAAAGATCAAAGAACAAACTATGGTTGTAAATATTTTAGGTCAGTTTTGCAACGGGTCTTTTAACTTCAGTATGCAAACGAATTTAAAAGGTTGTGACATCGCTAAGCGATGACTGAAATGCGTATCTTTCTCTACCAGTGGCATTTGAGGCTTTGCATTCGTTAATGAGATTACGTCTAGTGTGGTGTCACAAGGGCACTTAGGCCCCAAGCTGTATGACTGGAAGCAGGTGGCACATTTCCTACATCCTTGCTAATAGGGATTAGGCCTCTAAAAAGAGAGAGAGAATATTTCATTTATCCCGTTCAAAAGGTATATGAGATTGGTGGTCTGTCCTTGTGCTTATCCATGCTTTCTTAATTCACAAGTTTAATAGGTGTTTAAAAAAGATATTTTTTTTCAAATCCTGAAGGTCATTGTAGAAAATAACAATTTGAGTAGAATATCTGCAGTCTGCCTTTTCAGGTCCCTGCATCCTCAGCTAAAGGAGCAGGAAGCAGGAGTCGATGATTCCTGTAGGTGTGTGACTTTGAATTTGACCTTTTGTTTCCACCAGCCTACACACAGCACTCCATTTGGTTGCACTAGTTCCATTCCTACAGGGAGAGTGAATGTCAGAGTACAGCGCCTCCAAATAGGATAAAATGATTGAGTAATGTTGTGTGGGCTTGAGTTTAGACTTCATTATGGAATTCTAGTTATTCTCTTGCAATCCTATTGCGTCCTTTCTTCTGTAATATGATGATCTTTTAATCCCTTAATGAATGTGGTAAGAAAATGAAAGAAAAATAAACACTGGAGAGCGCTAATCTCAGATTTTACCAATTTAAATTTATAAGAAAATATACATGTCTATTTTTATCAGATATTGTTTGCAAACTATGCAAAGTGCAGATTCTCTTTTTATCTGCCTTTTAAAGGTATTCATATCTTATGAATTTTATTTAAATAAATCTGAACAAAGCTGTGTTAAGCCTAGTTATTTCACATCTAAACCAATGCCCAGACATGAATCTAGCGCCTCTGATTTTGTAAATATATTTTGATCTAATTTAATAGATGTCTAAAGGAGAGCAGTCATGCAAATTGTACCTAGGAAATGAGACGCGCTTCAAAAAATGCACTTAACTGCATTTTCTGCCAGAAGCTAATAGTTTTCAGTCACTGAGGGACTTAAATAACCAAACATGTATTGATCTATTTTTGTCTGAAGTCGGTTTTCCCAGTGAAGAGAAAAAGAGAGAAAAAAATGTATTTTATGAAATACAATGATGGGGCAGATCTGTAAATTCTAATGCTAAATGTTTTTTTTTATGTGTAACTGGTGGGAAAATGTTTATCTAATTTTAAGTATGAGTGCAGCAGGACTTGCATAGGCTTACATTCAAAGACTTCTTCCAGTCATGCAACACAACTTCTGCCTTTTAAGTGACACAGTAATTACACACTAAGCTAAAGAGTTCTTTCAGTGGGTGTGAAGAATGATAGCGGTAAATGTGGAGGGAATACTGATATTCCAATGTTGTTGAAACCGCTCTTTTCTTTGTTCAAGCCCCTGCCTTGCTGCCTCCTCCCCACTGCGGCGAAGCGATCCCATTGGAGGACTGCAAAATCACGGGCTGACAATCAGGACCACAGCATGAAGGATTCTAACTGTTGCTAAGGTATTTTGAATAGTGATTTGACCATTACATGAGTTCATTTGCTATCTGTCTTCAACTGCTGACTGCTCAGAAATGGTGTGAAATCTCAGGATTACTTGGTTTCTCATCTGTGGAGCCAGACATCCTTCACCGTCACACGCTGTCTGGGGCGTCGACAGCTTCAGGGAACGTTTGTTATTGAGATTCGACCCTCATCGTGTCAGATTCCTTTATTTTCTGTTTCCTTTTAAACACTCTGCCAAGAGAAATTTGGAAAAGATTCATGCTGTCTACAGGCATGCCTCTTAAAAAGAGAGCTGGAAGAGCAAACTGGGGTTCACTTGAAGTTCAGAGTTCACATGGAGAGGCACTGATTCATTACTGCAGGTTTATATTTAACTGTATCCTCATTTGTAATGTTCTTTTTTTATTTTAATACACAATGAAATTTTATTGTGTATTGAAGTTTGGAATTACAAATAAGCCTTACAGTATTTATGCATGTTGTGCTTTTAAAATCTTAAGAGGCAGATGTCTATATCTTGAACTTTTCACATTTAGGTGCATTTTAGCCACAAAATATCTTGCATCTTATTTGGGTTTTGGGTGAATGCCTCCCTCCTCCTAAATATTACAACAAAACACTCCTACTATAAAACGTAGGGATAGGTGCATGATGCTGTAGGGATGTTTCTTTTTCAACAATGAAGGGGAAATTGGTTAAAGGTGATGAAAGAATCAATTCTGGAAAAACAAAAAACCTGTTAAAGGCTGCAAAAATCTAACGCCTAAGGCCCAGTTTTACGCTGTAGCAGGACATACAGTCATATCCGACTAAATGCAAACATGTCATCAGTGTATATGAGGGTCACAGTTTAATTTTTTCTATGATTTGATCCTCCAGCAGCTTTTTCACCTGCTATTTGAAGTTGATCCAAGTGAGGACTCTAAACATTCTTCAATATAGTGGATTTCTGTTATTACACCCTGCAGAAGGCGACAGCAGTTTTGTTTGGTCTCACCTCTTTTTTGCACATCTACCTGTCTGTTACAGAGGTATACATCGCATCCATGTAGCTTCCTCTCCTGTCAGCCCACTGAGATGGCATCGCCTCTTAGAGTATCTCCTGCTACCACTCTGGTCTACCCTTCTGCTGAAGCTCTAAATTTAGGCTCACCTTAGACTTCACAGCATCTTTATGTCTGGCTTCAGAGTGGAGACAAAAGCCGCTGGCTCCGTCTGCGATTCCGGGGGAAGCTCATCATCTATTTCGGTTCTCTGCTGCAGCGTGAGCCAGAGCTGTCTGGGACTGTTGGTATTGAGCAGAGAGAAGCACCCCAGGCACATCCATCAAAAGAGGAAGTGTTTGCACTGTGGGAAAAGGCATTAATAATATATGCTTTCTTTACCCTTTTCTTGTATAACTTTGCATTTCCCCTTACAGCCAGTCTTCTCTTTGCAAATAACCAATATGAGTTTTTAAAGATTGATTTTAGAAATATTCCAACTCAAACCATAACAAAGGCTTTTTAATGATGAAAAAACATTTAGCTTATTCTGTACACATTGTTAGCATGAGTATACTTTAGTTTATATTTTCTTGTAATTACTAATATTTTTTATTGTCTTCCCCCTTTAAAGGAAAGGCTGGTTTTACTGATTGTCTTAAAAAATTTAAATATAAACTTCTAGATCCGAGTAAAACTGATGCGCTTCCAGTTTCAAGAAGTATCCAAGACCTTTCTTTCTTTTAACAGCATTTCTTTGGTTGATACCATTAACTTTCACATACTAATATGTAGCATGATCATTTATTTATTTGAAATATTAAGAAAAGGTCTGTTTTATATATTTCATTTCAAATGCAGTCTGGAAGATGTAAATGGAATAAAAAACTTGTTAGAGCAGACTTGGAGAACCACAAATTTCGCCTTTTTTTTGTCCTCACAAACAATCTAGAAAGCTTCCACTTATAAAATGTAGGATTTCAAAGGATGTATGATGATGATGTTGTTTTTAATGTGCAAATAAACACAAGCTGCTCTGTAATTTAAAAAAGCCATTTCAGTTCTACATGTTCATTAGTAAATTCTATTACTGTTTAAAGTAAATAGAGTTTAACTACAGTAGAAACTTTGACAAAAAGTAAGTCAGTCCATACATTTCAGATACTATGTTATTTAGGAAAATAATTTTTTAGTTTAAAGGATTATGATAATAAATATATTAACTTAATTTTAGCTCTGAGAGTATTTGTTTGTTTTTTTGCTAATTAGTCATAAGACTTGGAAACATTTAAAAAAACTTTGTTAAAATTCTATATTTAACGCGGAAATTTCTGAAATCAGAAATTAAAACAAAAAGATTTGAGCTCACAACTGTTTTGGTCTGCTTATGTAGGTTTGGATATTTCAATGACATCTAGACTTTTCATTATCTTGGGCTAATAAAAACACCTCTATCTTCCATTTGGCTCCCTGGAATGAAGAGCATCTGTTAAATCAGGGAGATAAGTTTCAGGTTAAATCAGTTTGAAGCCAACTGAATGTGATGTGTAAAGGACTGATTTTATGGGTGAATCAGGCTTTGGGGACCTCCTAGACCTCACGTTTTTTATGGTGGTCGTAAAGATTGATTTGTGCGGAGTTATTAATGAGGAAGGCTCCTAAGAGGCCTAGACCATAATCACTGTTTGTGAAAGCCTGTGTATTTCAATTTTCTTTATTTCATTTCTGAAAAACACAAGGATGCCTTTAGGTATTAGTTCTGTTTCTGGCTTTGTAAATTATGCAGTGAATGCTGCAGATCCAGAAAATCAAATTCTACACTATTGGATTAGTTTAATGGACTACTGCCCCTCTGTGGCAGTAATACTGCTGTGCTCAAGTGTCACATTTTAAACCCTCCCCCTTTCCCCTTCTTACTATGTGTCTCAATATAAGGAACTCCTAGGTGAATTTTTCCATCCAAATATTTTTTTATTCAGTTGTAATAAATATCAAAATAGGTGGAAGAATGGCTTTATAGACTTTAAATTTAAGCAATAACAGGGATTGTAAATCATCTTTGTTTTAATCAGAGTAGATATTTCTGATAAGATGCATCATCTCTGTTATGGTTTTTTGTTACACCGCAAGGAAATGAAGATTTTGATTTCATCAGTCATATCATTTTTCTTCCTTGGACTGCTAATTGGTATTACATTGCTGTGTTTTAACATTGGCATGTGATGATGCATAACTTAAACTGACCTGCAGAGATCCTCCATGTTTGCAGATCAGATAAGGTGGGGGAGGTTTGCTGTGAACCTTTACCGAACTGTGTAAAGCTCAATAAAGACCCAAGGAGCATCCATGCCAATAAAAGTGCTCCAATGTATAAAGATTGCAGGTTTTATATATATAAAACCTGCTGTCTATATATATGTATGTATGTATGTATGTATGTATGTATATATATATATATATATATATATGTATGTATATATATGTGTGTATGTATATGTATATATATATGTATGTAAAGTTAAAGTTACATTTTTCCAGTATAGTATCAATAGCAGTAACTTTCAAAACTATTTTTACTTACATTTGTTTTTTACATTTTATCACAATCCAACCAAATATTACAAGTACTTTATAAAGATTGTATATGAAAGCCTAACAATAAAAAAGGGAAAAATGAAAAAGAAAAATTATGCATGAATTTTACAATTATTCACAAATGAAAAAAATCCAGGAAGCAGCAAAGAAACACACAGGCGGTGTCTTTGGAGAAGCTGCAGACATCCATATTTTTATTGGGAGAAACTTTTGAAGAGAACATTAATTGTCATATATTCCAAATTCCTACCTTTCATGGAAGTGTGTCAAGGAGAAGGCCAATATTTAAAGAAAGATGTGCAAAAATCGAATTTATAGTTTAATACAAATATTTTAGGGGAGACAGCAAATATATAGCCGGAATTACTGTTATTGGCCAAAACTAAATGTTTTTTGCTGCAAATGAAATGTCTTAGCCTGCGTTCTAAATGTTTTACATCACCCTAAACATCATCACAAATTGTTGGTGGAAGCATCATGCTGTGAAAACTTTTTGTTTTTATCAGCAGGGACAGGGAAGGTGGAGAATATGAAGATAAATGCAGACATTCCTTGAGAAAAAAACCCCATCAAAAGTAAATTAGCCTAAACAAACAGACTTAGCTACATCCAGACGGTCTTGATACATGATGATTTTCTAAAACTTATGCTCTTTATGCATTCAAAGAATAACCAAAGGTAAGTTTTTGATGCAAATATGATCGAGACAGATCCTAAAATAATTGTTGGTCCTGCCAACAAGCATTTTAGGACTATCACACCTTCATTCATTTATTGTTTAAAAACTAAAAGGTGAGTTTATCATTTTCTATTATTTGCTGTTTACCATGCTACTCCACCTTGATGCAACTCACACATGAAGTCTGAGGTTGAATAAAACGCAAATAAGCAAAGGTTTGATATAGTGCCTTCATATGTACAAATTAAATATTCACAGAAACTTGACAGGGTAAATCTACTTTTTAACAAAATTAGTTAAGGTGGTCTCTTTTTCATGTGCAGTGAAAAAATAAGAAATTGGAACGTTCACCCATTATTTGTTGCAATCATTGAAACTAATGACCTAGAAAAATATTATTACATAGAGATGAGCCACAGAAAAGTTCCTTGTGCTGCAAGGAAACCTTTCTTTACCATCAACTTAGTTGACTTTAACATTTAAATGTCTAATCTTTACAAGACAATGTGATGTTCTAATGGCTTATTTCCCTCTTAGTTACAAAATTATAAAGAGAAATGTTCAAGGCGTTCCCTACTGTTCAAGTCTAAATCTCAAGGACCAGTGTGCTCCATGCTAGATGTTGCCCTGTTATGATACAGTCAATGCAAATGGCTGAATTACCGTATCCACTCACCAGATTATA